TATTGAGAGACGTTGTTCAACACTTATTTTATGGAAATAAAGCAAACAGGACTTACCTGACCATGAAACTGGTCGTCAGGCAGATATTCAGTTACTTTTGAGCCTCTGAAAATGGGGGGCTATTTATAAAAAGCTAAAATCTTCAATTACACCTTAGCTATTTGATTTAAAATCCATTGTGACCATGTACAGAGGCTCTACTACATTAATAGGAAAACAAATGCATCATTGTCCTTAAATTTGGACTTTTTAATTAAAATTTTTTTTTAAATATTTCTTTAAATAAAAATGATCGTTAGGAGGAAAAAGAAAGAGCTGCATCACTTCTTTCTGGATTTTGTAAAGACCAAAAACACAAGCTAAAAGTGGCCTTAACTATAACAAATTATAGATAATGTTGCTCGATAACCGATGTGTAAATAAGGAACTGCTGGCTAACAAGTCTGTCACATGTTCCACTGCAGAAGAAGGCTTTGATAGATTGTTTAGAAAAGCCTCATAGGAGCTTTTTTTGTCAGGAATGCTTCCTTCTCCTTAATCATTTCTTAAAATCTTCCTTCCTTCTTGCATGCTTGCTTTTCTTTGTTTGCATTTCCTTTTGACGTTTGTGTCTTTGGCTTTCTTGTGTCGGCAGATCTTAATGAAAACACGAGGCTTTTAAATGACACACACAAAAAAAGAATTCTGCTCTTCCCTTTAACATTTTACTTCCAGTTAAACTGCAAATGCTGGACTTTTATTTTATTGCAGCACTGCAGCGAGTTTGTAGGTAGTTTACAGGCGTTGCCATTCATTCGTGGCCTAAAAAACCCCTTACTCACCACATATGTATGTGCATATGGTAATGTTTGAACTCATGTGCGTGTCTGCTACAGTCTGAAGTTCAAATACTGTGCAGTCCTGTTTGCTGGCTGAAGGGACACGGTGACACCTGAGAGTGTTAGAGGGTTTGGTCCGAGTCCACGCTGTTACAGTAAGCCATTTGGCATCTGAGCTTCTCTGCCGGTACGCTTGTGCAGCTGTGAATGAAGAGAGAGGGGGGAGAAAGTACAAGTTAAACAATGTGCCTAATACAACGTGCCTTTTACAAACAGTTTAGTTACTTTGGGGTAATCTCAGTTAGCCATATGAGTATTTCCAGTCAGTCAGAGACACACCCAGGATTTCCAGGGTGATAAGTGATGATTTATGCGAAAGTAAAGATCATCACTAGAGGTTTTGAGTGCTGCAGAGAGCGTAACTGTACAGCACGGATGATTGGTAGTAGGCTTGGAGGAATATTGTGTTTGTTTGGATGTGTTTGTGATGCGTCACTGTCAGTGAGTACAAGTGAAGGCGCTTTGTGCACACACAAACAAAACACATACATGCACTTGTGCATTTAACTGCATGTATTCTTTCCCATATGGTTTTTATTGATCCCCATCGCTGTTATACCCCTTCTGCTCCCTCTGCTTCTCTCCGTCTCTGTCTGTGTGCACTGATGGTGAAGGAATGATGGAATGCTGGAGGGTAAATCTCTGGTTTCCTGGAAGCTGGTCTGGCTTTATCAGAAGCGGCTGTGACAATACTCGAACTGATGGGCCAACCCCAATGCCTTTCCTATAAGCACCGATCAGGCAAGAAAAAGCCTTACTGGAAGAAATAATCAGCAGTCCAAGGGGCCTTTCCTGGAAGATGGTTGTGACTTGCTAGTTGTAGAGTACAGTCCTAACCTTTTAATATTCTTTCCTCCTTCTATGCGTGTTGTGGCTGACTTTGGCAAGAGCGCAAAAATGACATAAAACACAAAAGAAGCTGCAGATAGCACACTTCAATTTTGATCAGGCTCCAGGAGTAAAACTGGCTTACATTTTGAAAAGTATTCCTCTTATTGCTCAACTTGCTTCTCACTTCCTTATGCTGCATTAAAACACAGCATTAAAGTTATGAGAGTGGACAGCTTCAAATACCTCGGAGTTCACATCACGCAGGACCTGTCATGGTCCTGTCACATCAACACCGTGGTGAAAAAGGCCCGACAGCGTCTCTACCACCTCAGACGCTTGAGAGACTTCCAACTGCCCTCCAAGGTGCTCAGGAACTTTTACTCGTGCACCATAGAGAGCATCCTGGCGGGAAACATCTTAACCTGGTTCGGGAACAGCACCATGCAGGACAGACGAGCTCTACAGAGGGTTGTGCGGTCAGCTGAGCGCACCATCCGCTCCGAGCTCCCTGACCTGCACTCAATCTACAGCAGGCGGTGCTGGACCAAGGCCAGGAAGATCGTGAAGGACCTCAGCCATCCCAACAACAGACTGTTCTCTCTGTTGAGGTCAGGAAAGCGATTCCGCTCCCTGAAGACCAACACAGAGAGACTGAGGAGGAGCTTCTTCCCGCAGGCGATACGGTCTCTCAATCACACCACCACACAGTACTGACCCACACATATGGTTCTTACACACACTGGACTTTCTGGACATTGTTTTTGCACAACACTGGTCACTATATTCTTCATTTCCGGTTAATACTTGTACAGCTGCTGTTATTGTGTATATATTTATTTAGATTTAGATTTCTTCATACATTCTTATATAGTTCTATATTGTGTATTTTGTTGTACAGTTATTTTATTTTCAACTTTAATTTATATATTTTATCTTATTCTTCCCAGTTAAATTTACCCTTCATTCTAATTTGTGTTGTACAGTTATTTCATTTTTAACCTTAATTTATATTTTATTCCTTCCTAGTTAAATTTACCCTTTTTAATTTTTCATATTTATTTCCTATCTTATTCATAGCCTTTTCCTTTTTTGTTTTCTTTAGGTCACGAGCAGTTGTCCAAGCATTTCACTACATATCGTACTGTGTATGACTGTGTACGTGACAAATAAAATTTGAATTTGAATTTGAATTTGAGAGGCAATGCCCGAAACGTTGGTGCGAGTGTTTTGATTGTTGGGTTGGGGGGGGTTCTCCAAATGGAGCTCAGTTGTTTGAGACCCGGGTGTTGTGTTTGGCGGGGACACTGTTGACAACTGTTGAGCTGGACACAGCAAGTCATAACCCGAAAAAAATGAATCACGGTGGAAAGACTTTCTGTGAGTGTGTGAGATTCACGACGCACAGGCAAAATATTCCAGCGCCACTCACTAGGCAACTATGGGGAACATAAGATGAGTCACAGCGAGCTGAGCTGGCTTATTTGAACAATGTGTTGTGTGTAAAACTGGATTGTTCTGGTTGGATTTTGGGAAGAAGGCTCACTCATTTTCTGTTTGTCTCCTAACCTACGTCATCCTTCTCTCCAAGTGCCCACTCAGTTTTCCTCTCATAAACAAATAGTGTCATCTGCACTCGCGCACAGACGCACACCAGCGTCCAAACAGCAACCCTGGATGCGTTTTTTCCTGGAAGTGTCAAGGCAAAAAATGAGGAACCGAGTTTTTGAATCATTGTAATTACCTGTACTGAGGTGAGCTGTAAAAACAGTTATTAAACATTAGCCTGTGATTCCCACAGAGGTCTTAGGTTGGCTCGAGTCCAGAGAGATGTGTGTAGCACTGGCGGCTGGCCCAGTGAGGTAGACGAGGTTACTCCTCTATTTTTTAAGGGATATGAGGGAGCTCAAAATATAACTGCTTAATCTCATCTTGAACATAGGAGAGAGGAGATAAGTAGAGAAAAAATAATGTTGGTTTTAACCTTTTGGACTTGACCAGAGTCGCTTTGCATGACTCATAGTTCAAAATAATCCTCGTTTATCTTACACTGGGCTGTGGTGCAGTTCCTTTAAGCCACCTTTCAAACAAAAGGTTTGAACAGGAGAGCAGAAAAGAGCCTGAAGCCTTCAATTTTAGCTCACAAGGCTTAAATGTAGAAACTTTGGCCATATTAAAATGAGGATCCACCATTTTTACAGCACATGTATGACATTAAAAAAAAAAATCAGGAAAATCTCCCAGGTCCTCCTTATCTGATTTTAATATTCTCTCAGCATCTTTTATTTCTTGTTTTAAGCAATTATTTCCTCTTCAGGACTCCCCTACCTCACACACTCCCTCCTTCTGAAACACACATTAACACCAGGCAAGAGCCGTAAAAACTCAACTCAATTAAAGGGCCTCTTTCCTGGAAGCCAGCCTCAGACAGAGCACAAGGTATGCAGGGAATGGGAACCATATCTGTGTGTGTGTGTTCGGGGAAATGGGGGGGGGGGGGGGGGGGGGGGGGGTGTAGAAATGAAGAAACTCACCTCCTGCTTAAGTTTACCAACAGGCGCAATCTAGCTTGACCAACCACTTACGCACACACACACTCTGCTTTGGCTGCGCACTAAAAGACAAAAAAACTAAAACCACAGACGATCATAAATCTCCTCCACGTGGACCCTTTCACCTATTTGACCTCAAACACACACACACATATCCATACACACTCCCTGGAGGACACCATCCTCTTTCAGCCCCTCAGGCAGGATGTATAAAACCCCACTGCATTCCTTTCCAGTTAGGTCCAGCCCAAAGTGAGCTCTCCACACAGTGACTGCTGTGTCAAAGTGTGCATGCATGACGTTGACCTAAACCCTCTCCTTCTGGGAAACCCTTTGTTACTGTGCCATGTGCACATCAGCTGTGCCCTCCCTCCATCCTTTCCTTCCATCCTTCCCTATACGTTCTCCAATCCCTGTGGAATTTATCCACAATCCTCTGGCAAAGAAACGGAGAAGCGTGGATCGGAGCAACTTTAACCCGGTGATGAATGTGCGTCCTCCTCGTGTGCTGCTGCTCACTCTTTTTCAAAGTGTGCCGACTGAATAAACACTGCTTTGTTTAACTAGGAAATCCCAATTGTAAGTAAATAGTCTTGCTGTGAGGCCAGGAATTGCTGGAATAAAAACCATTTTACAATTTATTAGAGTAAATTAAAAGTGTGTGCAGTCAATATTGAATTGGTGGAAGTTCAAAAGAAGAAAAACAAAACAAAACAGTAAATTAAGACACAAGGCAAATGCATTGACTTTTGTAAAAATAGTGCTTTTTAATATAAATTATTGAAATATTTTAGAAATATAAATATGTGCAACGTTCCTTTTCATTTATTTCTGTAATGCTTTGTCATTTCAGGTATTACAGCTTGTATTGCCAGACTAGTGGCCAGCCTGTTGCGAGAGAGTCTTTATAAAAGACAATATGATTCACATACACGTGGTCCACCGGTGCAACACATGTTTTTTAAAAAAAAAAAGAAGAAAGAGTTGGTGTTGATGTGACCCAGATTTGACCAAAAAAAAAAAAAGTGTGCCGCCCTCGCCTCGAGTGGCCATGTGAGCTCAAACAGACAAAAACATAAAAGGCTGCCACTCCAATATGGATCACAGGTACGGGTCAAACAGCAAAAGCACTTCCTTTTTTTGATCAAATCTAAGTTTTGAATTCTGGTTTACAAAAGGCTGTTTTCTTTTCTTTTTTAAGAATCACTTGAGGGAAAAGTGTAGTGTATCCTTAACATTCAGACAAGTCCAACTGTTCACTTCTCCTCCTCCAGAGGTTATGATGGAAAAGTAGACAAAAAAGTAAAAAATACAAATCCTTTCTGAAGTTACAGGAGAAGGCAGACAGATATTCAAACACACTGGGGCATTTTAACAAATAGAAATGAGCCGGAGATGATAATCCAAGACAGAAATAAGACTCAGCTAAAATCTTTTTCCCCCTCACACAGGGCAGTTATATTTACAGGAGCGGCGTCCTGTTGTGCTCTATCATTTCCTCTTATCGGAGTTTTTGTTTAGCTGTATACCAGTATGTCTCCTCCCACCTTTCTCCCCCAAGTCTACCCCTCCTTTTCAGTTTCCTTCTCCCAATCCCACTCCTCCCTCTGCCCTCTCCGCATCTTTGGGATCATCACCATTATCATCATTCCCCCAAGGAGCTTTACAGTGTCGCTGACATTTTTCCAGCCAGTCGGGATAAAAAATAAGGTCTGCTGTTTTGTTTGGTCCCATGCCAGGGCTTTTGTCCCGGTAAAAAAGCTTTTGTCTCGGCAAGAGCGGCCTGTTTTCTGTCACTGTCAAAGCATACATGCATCTCTGAAACAAAAAGGCAGGGGGAGGGGGGGCTGGGCAGTCAAATGGTTATGGATCAGGAACAAGGAACACATAGGAGAAGAAAATGCTTAGTAATTATTTTTTTAACCTCCCCCCATCCCCCCAAAACTCCCATGCTAACAAAACCTTCATGTGGTCTATATACCTGTGCGTGTGTTTGAGGGTGTGGGTGTGTGTTTGCATATGTGGAGCTAGAGTGCATGACCGTCCCACTCCCCCTCTATGAGGCAACACTTGCGGGAAGCAGCAATGGAAATGTGTGCACCACCACAACACAAACACACACACACTCACGCTCAGACAAACAAATCCTGTGCGTTCTCTGTACAGGGCCCCCCTCGTTTGGACTTTGCCTTTTCTCTGAAACCCCCCACCCCCCACTCTCTCTACCCACTGCCGTTTGTCTGTCCAGTTGTAAATGTCACGCAGACAGCAGCAGCTTTGAAGCACATTAAACCCACCAAAATATCACTGGTGGTGCATTGATCATGCCTTTCGCTGCCATCGTTAATATTGACCAGTCAGGTTAATCTTCTACGAGGCACTGCTCTGCGTCTCAGTCAGTCATAGGAAACGTTGACCTTTGACCTCAGGCTTCATCTGCCACTCACTTGAGTGGTCAGTGTTTTTGTTTTTGTGTGTTTTTGCAAAGCAGGACGGACGAGGTAATCGTCGGTTACCCAAATCACACTCCTCATCCCCAGAAGGTCAGCGGGTGACCCAGAGTAGATCAGTGATCAGCTGATTCTGGAAAACTGACCTCATGTTAGCACTTAAGGCTCAGTCTGGTCAGTTTATGTCCACACAGACAATCTCGCATTCACCGAGAGCTGGTCCGTGCTGTAATCCTGGCACTTGGTCCATGCAGTAGAACCTGTCGCAGTTCCTGTCAGTCATATAGGAGCATCATACTCCTCCAGGTAGTCTCTAAGTGTGTCCGGGAGCTGCTCAGTCCGCTCAGACGCCCCCAAGCCCTGATTGTTCAGCGTCCTCCTGCACATGTGCTGCAGGCTGGAGAGACAAGTCGAGAGGGGTCGACGCAATTCCAGTGGGATTTTCTCCCCACCGGTATGGATCAGATAAACATTGTGTGCCTTTGTTTTTGTCTCTCCTGGATTGTCCCCACTCGCCCGTTCCTTGGTCCCTTCAGTATCTTGCCCCTTCCCCATGTAGTGCGCTACGAGTTTCAGCACACAGTCAAATTGCGGGAGCTCCTGGGTATTTTGGGGGTCTGGCTGTAGGAAGAAGCCTCCTCCCTCACTGTGGATTCGCAGATTCTTGGTTCCCTTAGTTGTCTGGACAGAGAGTGTGAAGAAGTGGTGGTGGTCTGAGGAGTCACGGACCAGGAAAGTGCCAGGGGGTTGAGAGCGTAGCAGGGAGCTGGCTTCCCGGCCTCCGACAGCTCCCCAGTAAAAGCCACTCTGCTGAAGCTTATGCAGTGCACGCATCACCTGAAACGGGTAAAAAAAAAAAGAAAAAAAAAAGCCATGTTGAATTTCCAAGAATGCCAAAGAAACCACACACACAAAACGTAATAGTTTAGCTAACTCCTCAGATGTGACTGACCTGCTGGTAGTGTTCATGCGAGCTGAAGGGCTTGAAATGATGCGGGGTAAAGTTCGACCCCTGAACCCTGCCCTCTGGAGAGGTGATGCTGCTCATGGCAAGGGGGTTGTGTCCTGCAAAGGTTACCATGGCCATGCCATGGCCCCCTGCCTCTCCCTGCTGATCGAGAGGCAGGGGGCCCAGAAAAGGAGCGCGGGATTGGACAGGTGGAAGAGAGTCGGCAGCAGAGCGAGAGGGGAGACGAGGGGGGGAGCGGGGTGAGGATGGCGGGGTCACACACCGGGTCCAGGGCCCCGGGGAAGAGGAGTCTGATGCATCCAGAGAGGGGCTGGTAGAGAGCACCTATACACAGCTGGAGGGAGACAGTGAGCAAAGATTAAGCACTTCCAGCTATATATAACCTCATCTTGGCTTGCAAATATAGAGCCATAGAGCCTCATTTGAATTTCACTCCTGCATAGGCAGTGAGAAATAAATGGCCACTGTGCCACACTGAAGCTCTCAGTTTACCCCCATAAAAATGCAGTTATGGCGACTGTAACAAATGCATATGGCATGAGCGGGCAGCGAGCAGGCAGGTTATATTTAGTTTAAATGAATGCACTGCTTACTCGTGCTGCTGCACCGTGCAGCCAGACAGCAACTGGATCCTGATTGCTTTCAATTGTCTTCGATCGGGCGCACCGCAACAAGGGATTTCTGAATCGGGGTCACTGTGAAAGAGTACAGCCAGCGCAATTTTTTTTCTTCTATTAACCCCCTCCATTTCTCTTTGCTAAATAGCTGTATTCCTGCTCGGAGGCCCCGTTCTCCGGTTTCACGATGACTGAAAAGGTGTCCCGTCTGGTTCTGGTTTCCCAAGATACCCTGCAGGCTCTACGGGAATTGGAAGTCGGCTTCACCGGACAGTGCAGGCGCCATAGCGACTCAGAACTGCTACGGAGCCACTGGCGTTAAACTCGGTCCACTACTGATGATACTGCGAACCCCCCGAGCATTAACACTTTTAGGACCGTCTTCAGCGAGAGCCCGAGCTGCTAAATAAAACCACAGCGCTTTAAAGTGCCCCATACCCCAGTTTTCTGTCATTTTGCCTACTTTAAGACGATGACCAGCGAACCGCTTTTAAATGTTTTAACTTACCTTGTGGATACACTCAGCCCAGCGCCGCAGCCGCTCGTCGCCAAAAGAAAAGATACGCAAACTACCCGAAAGTAGTGCTTGAAAAAATATTAACTCAGGCATTAAAATCCATAAAAAAGTATCCAAAAGAGCGTGTGGGTTTCCTTACCGAGCAGAGGAATGTGTCGGCAGCGGTATCTGCCGGAGAACTCCCCGTGTGTGTGTGTTGGGGGAGGAGGGGAGGGGAGGAGGTTTACTGGAGGTTGTTTCCAGTGAGTAAAGCCGATGTTCGTAAAGCTCCGCCCCCCTCCGTTCAGAGGTTCTTCCAGTAAACACACGAACGCACGCTCACGCACGCAAAAGAACACACGCGCGGGCTCGCGCCCGCTCTTGGCGGATCGCCAATAAATAATCAGCGTGACCTTTACCGGGCTGTTTCCTGGTACTGCTGCTGGATTCCCTTCTCGACAAGGTGAAAAAGTTAAAAGCTCCACATATGGCACAATATAAAACCGCAGCTATGGCTCATGTTTTAGAGACATACTCCACATATTCTCGCTATAATAACTAACCATAATATGCTTGTACATGCACTGCAGGACCCTTCTTTTTTTCTGCATTCATCTAACACTCAGATCTGCCGTTAAAGCATTAAAAATCCTCAGTTCCATATAAAATAATGCATCCAAGTGTTGATATCTATGTAGAAATCAGCATTTCCCCCGAAAATATGGGTTATATAAACATATTCACACCCGTAGAAGACATTTTGTTCTTTCTCCCTAAAGGAAAATCAGCAGGATTGTAATAAAAATCTTATTTACTTTTTTTTTGTTTTTAGCAGGGTTACTTTTACTGATGCAGAAGATTGCCAGGATTACCAGGAAAATGCACAGACTTCTGTTAAAGACTTAAACAAAAAATATCTTAATGTATGCAAATATTATTCTTAGTTTTAATACATATCAGGTCTCAGTAATCCCAGATAGGTAGGAGAAGTATTATTATTTTTTTATTTTTAAAAAAGCACCCCTAAATTTGTATCTAGGTGAAAAGTTGTCATAATGCTGTGAATTAAAGTACTCGTATCTATTCAATATTTAATCTGCTGAGGTTGAGTAAAGACTCAAGTATTTTAAAACTGTACCGCAGTGAATGTTACTCTACTATTTATTAAATTTGCTGTAGTTTGTTTGGACAAACACAGAATACAAAAGCACATGTGCACAAATTAAGAAAAAAAGCACAGGTAGAATTTTTTTTTAGGTGTTTCACTGAAATAATCAAGTAACCTACTTTCAAGGTTTATGTCTATTTCCTTGTGCTGTTACAAATCTCTCTGCTGAGTTTCCATAAACAAAGCCTTACCTTAAGGTCAGATATTTTCAAGCTATTCAACATCAACATGGGCTGTCATTGCATTCTCCCTTCTGTTTCTGAACAGCATGAAGGATAAATAGCATCTGACCTACAACAAACTGGCTTATGTTTAAAGATAGGGGTCCCTCAGTCCGCTGTGTCGTGTCCGTGTCAGGAAACATCTGACTTACTGCAAATGCTCTTGAGCAACAGCCTACAGTGTTGCTTGAGCATGCAAATGCCCTATATGTAATGAAAGGTTGAAAGAGTGACTCGTTTTAAATTAAGAGCCAAATCTGTAACTTTAGAGGAGAAAAAGGTTTAAATTTACTCTGAAAAATAGTGAGAATCAATTACAAATGCTATGATTACTGGTCTTTCTTTCTAATATGTTCATTAACAATCCAAGAACAAACATAGGCTGTAAGGCCATAAAAGATATCAACTCATATTTAAAGTGTTTTGAAATCAATAAAGCAGTAAAGTTAGATAGTAGTCCTGATTGTTCTCCATATCATTCTACTGAAACGTACTGCTGCGAGTATTGTTGTTATAAGACAGCAGTAAAGAAGATTCTCATGTGCTATGAGCCTTCCAAATATAAACACATACACACACATTTATCAGTCGGCTGAAACAATGCACGTCATGCATTGCATGACTGAAAATCTTCAAGGCACACCTTTAACAGGTAACTGAACAGGAAGATGTGTTACCAAAAATATATCTTTAAGCTTTTCTGTGGTCACATATGTCTTTTTTAAAGAGTGCCTTGGTGGTTAATTTAAAAATGGAGCATAAATAATTTGCAGGTCATTAAAAGACACTTAAAATCACCCCCAAAATCACAGAAAAACAGATCCCAAACCAGCGATATTTAATTTATTTAATTAAAAGAAAAGCACCTTACCTATTACAGTAGGGTCTTATTATTGTAAGGTCTTTACCTTTCAGTTTAAAGCGCCTTCAGGCAAATGTTGTTGTGCTTTGAAGCAATACAAATACAACTGAATTGAACTGAATTGAAGTTGCTTGGCACGGTTTGAGCTGTCACTACAATCTTGTGTACTGCACAGTGTAGAAAGCGTCTGTGTATGTGAACTGAGAGGGGTGTCTATAAAGTTTTTTCAAACTCGCAGTGCTGCAGCAATGGCGGCTCCCATGTCCTGGAGGAGGCTGGTGTACTCCGTGTACTCACCGGCCATAGCTGGGGTTTTTACCCGGATATCTGACCGGGTGTTCCGTGCACGGGACCGGCGAGGAGGGTAAGACACACGAGGACAAAAGTGCGCTTTTTCTGCCGCTGTAGTGTTACTTCTCTTAGCGCCTTTCTCACCTCTAGCTTGCCTTGCTAGTGTAGCTCTTGCTAATGCACCCATCATCGGACACGAATATTTTGACCCTCTGTTTTCACGAAGTCTTAAAATCCTTTATACGTGAACATGTCTGGCCACCAACCCCGACTTATTTCGAGTGAAAATAACACGTTTACAGCAAATGATAACCATAGTTAGAGTCACATTTAGCGCATCAATATCCAGTAATGAACTTCACGAGACTCAGCAACCATATGGGGAAGTTTTCATAACTGACACGCAGTGCACCATGGGAATGAATAAGAAACCAGCTATGTTTTATTTATTTTTTTATTTTGGAAATAGCAGTTGAACTTATGATGTAATAATGATAGTCTTTCGGCCTTAGGGGTTGCCACAGCGGATCATTTCCCTTCATCTCACCCTATCTTTAGCATCGACCTCCAGCCCAGCTTTGTCTCCCTGTCTTCACACTGCTCAATCCGAGCTGTCTGTCGGATATACTAATTTCTAATCTTGTCCATCATGGTCAGTGCCAGCTCGGCGTCTTGTCTTCATCTTTTTTTTGGGTCAGTGCCACAGTCTTCAAACCACACATCACAGCAGGTCTCACTACCACCTTCTAATCCTTCCCTTTCACTCTTACTGCTATCCTCCTCAAAAATCACCCCAGGCAATCGTCTCCACCTGCTGCACCTGTCTCATGCACTGACTGTTGCTTTGGATGGTTGACCAACTCATCCACCTTTACCACCTCTACTCCTTGCATCTTCACCTTTCCATCTGTCTCCAACTCTCGAGACACTCTGTCCCCCAGCTGTTCCCTGCTCTCCCTGCATCTCAACATGTTTTGAAGTTCTCCAGAGGCCTGGTAATGAACTCATGTGATACGGGTGTGTTGACCCAGGGTGAGATTTAAAACCTGCAAGGACACCGGCCCTCGTGGACTGGGATTGGGGACCCCAGCTTTAAAGGCTCTGAGCTTTGTGATGAAGTAGAACTAGCTAGTTAGATTTTGGAGTAACAAGACACAGCAAATTATGTCCTCAAAATCCAGTAAGATAAAGTTATCTCGCTTCAGTTATTTTTGCTGTAAAATAAGCTTGTAAAGCATATGAACATTGTCACTAAAACCTGTCATAAATGTTGGCATGAGAGAGTCTGCTATCAGTGTGCGATTGAATGGGGTCTACTTGGTAATTACATGCAATCTGCTTTTGATAATAGAAAAATAAATGGCAGTTGTTTATAAACCTTCAATAATCTGTCAGAAAAACTGCAGTTAGTTACACTGCACCTGTTTGCAGACAGTTGCGTCCGATCGGGCGACCTGTGCAAGTGATCATGAGTGCACAACGTCCTCAAACTCTGGGCAACCATTAGTCACCAAGAGTTGCAATTAGTTGATTGCTGGATAGTTTTTCGGTTCAGTTCATTTAAGTTTCCTTGGCTAACGTTATTGCAGAATGGTTAGCCCTCTAATAAAATAAGTATATCTAGTGTGCCTGTAGTGACACAATATTTCCACACGGAATATTGCAATATTATGTTGTCTTTTTCTTTTTTCTTTTTTGGCACCCACCACTGCTGCTCTTCTCTGTCTTGTTTAGAGCCTCTGTGTTGGGCTTCCAGTTCAGCTTGTTATTGATGTGGAAACCCGGGCGCACAGGTACTCCTCCACCACATCAACAGGATAGACAGGAGTTGTATAGCCGTACTCATCCTTCAGTAGTCTATGTGATTTTATTCACATTCAGAAGCAGATGATTCCTCCCAGAATACTCCACAAAATAATATCCTAGTGTTCTGTGCTCCCACTCTCTCCCATTAGTAATAACATAGTATATTGAGTTTTACTGAAAAGCCTGAGGTGTACAAGGCAATGTGAAAAAGCACAATTCCCTGTGGAGCTCCAGTATGGCACCTCAACAAATCATAAAGTCTCAGATACTGCAGACTGTGTGTCAGGTAGTATGCAATCCATGAGATGGTGGACATGATTACTTACATTTCCTGTAGCTTCTCTCTCAGCCGCAGTGGATGGATCATGTTAAATGGACTTGAGAAATCCGTCTAGATAGTAACCATGCAGCCGTTACTATCTAGATCAGAGGTCTGCAACCCACGGCTCACACGCCCTTCTGCGTCACACGCTAGTACAGAGGGTGAAGCACTGTTTTCACCTGTGGTGTTAGGTTAACTAAGACAAGCCTTGGCTGTGCTGTGGTTGTTTTGTAACGTTGCGTGTGACTAATACTAAACTACTACACCTTTCTGACAACCACCTTCACTCCAGTCTTGTTGTGTGACAGCTAGCACACAGCTGCAACTAAACTCAAGCAGCTGTTGGGGTCTATTCAAATCAACACGTGGAGTGACACGCCTGAGTCGTCTTTAGACTTCAGAAAAAAGAGCTTTTCACTTCAGTCATTTTTCACTTGACAGAACAGGAAAAGCTGAGAAATTAAAAACAACTGTATTCCCTGTAGGGGAGGTAAACAGGTTTTAGGGTGTCCCAGCAGTCATTCATGTTGACTTAGTGGCTTATAAATAGTCTTTGAGGGATGGTTTCAAAAGAAGATAAAAAAGAAAATTGTACCATGTGAAGAATTCAGCCTGATTACTTGGCTGTCATCTTCGTGACGTAAGACATTGACTGAAAAAGTTGGGGACATTCTTCTTTCCATCCTGCTATGATGAGCAGCTTGCCTGTGTACAGTTTTTAGAATAAATCTCTGGATCTGCAGGATTCTCATGGGGAAGACGATTGCGTGGCATATTTGTCACTCTTGTGTACATTATACTGTTCGATTAAATGTGTAAGTGCATTTAAACACCAGATCTATAAGTGCACTTATAGATGCTGCTTGCTTGGCATGCTTAAACTCCACAGCTTACAGATACAGGTACCCAGCTAAGTGCTACAGGGCACCTGTCTATCAAAGCCATGCCTTTAACTTTAAGCCTTAAAATGATACAGCTGTACAGTGATATGAAGGAGTAACTACAACCCCCCAAATCATCTTTTGTGCCAGGCTTTAAATTTATTGTTGTGACTGAAGTTAGAAAATTAGAGCAACTTCTCTGCTGGTTTCATTTTTTTTTTAACCCTGAAGGTTTACAACTTGGTGTAGACATTCATTACTTTTTTTTTTGGTGTGAACTGTAGTTCCTGGGTCGAGTCTGCTTCCCAGAAGGAAATAGTTTGTGGAATTTAAAAACGAACATTCCATAGTATATTGCTTTCATGCTTTCTTGGCAGCAGTTTGGGAATGGCTCTTTTATGAATGCTAGAACTTTGGACTTTGTGCACACATGCTGTAACAAGTCCCTAGTATTATAACCAAAACATAGATGGGCTCATTTTTTATTCTTCTACTGGAGTGGCTTTACTTGATTTACAGTTTAAAAAAATAAAAAAATCTCTATTTATCCTATCTGGGTCTGGGTGCTAAATCTCAGTTTATCCTGTTTAAAACGAGCCATTTCAGCACGTATACTTTTAGGGTCAGAGCCTTTCTTCTGATTGGCTGCCCTTCACAAACACAAGGTTTGACAAGAGGGGTGGAGCTCTGTATTCACACAGAGTTGTGTACCTGAGAGATGTTTCTCGCTGTGGTGCAATACAGCGTTAAAAGTAGAAAATAACAAGTGCTTAGGGCATTCTGAAGCCTTCTTGAGACTTTTTCATTCACAGGGATACTCTGACTTCATTATTTGAAACGTTTGGCATGTTCAACATTTTTAGGGATTCTTGAGGACCTACAGGTTATGGTTAAATTTGAATTCTTTTCTTTTTTTTCAGGACTTGTCACTTTTCATAATCACAAGCGTTAAAGCTGGCGATGTGACTGACTTTGACAGGTGTGCCAACAGTGGCAGCTGTCTGCTTGCATCTTTAGTAAGAAGCTTTACCCATGCATCAACTGGACCTCCGCCAAGTTTATGGTGTTGGTGCATTTTGTAAATAAATTTGTGCTTCAGTTTCACTTGGATGTGACGAGGATCTGGCTGTGAAACCGCGTGCTCATTGGCTAAGCATTTATCAAAGCATTTCAGTGTTGGCTTCACTGTTGTGATGTGGAATCCGTGTCTGTCTTCTATACTGTCAAAGTTGTTGAATTCATCTTGCTGGTATCTTACAACCTCTCGACCAGTGGTGTCAAACATAAGACCTGGGGGCCAGTAAGGACTTCAATCTGCCCCACTGGACGGCTTTAAAAAATGTCAAGTAGAGCATAGATTTTGAAGTTTTTACTGCATTTTCATACGTTTTACAGCTTTTCCTACCGATAAACATGTCACCCACGGCCGTTAATACTACAACAAAGTAATTAAGTAATAGATAAACATTTAAATGACCGAAAAGTTCCTTTTTTGACTATTGACTATAGAAATGTCTGGGTTTTTTTTTTTTTTTTTTTTTTAAAAAGGGTCCACATAAACATATCTGTGAATAAATCAGTTTTGTAACTATAGGAGAATCTGGAAAATGATCTACCAGGACCTTTTCTCTAATTTTACAAATCTTTGTTAACCACAGCAGCATTTCTTTATCATGTAGAAAAAAAAAGCTGTGCTATTGACATCGCACTTCTTTTTCTTATATCGAATGTGTGTAGTTAAATGTCTTTACACTTACAGAAAGGGGATTTTCACTGGTCCGACCCACTTAAGAAGTGGGCTGTATGTGGCCCATGATGTGAAATGAGTTTGACACCCCTGCTCTAGACCAGGTTTAAGATATGGAGCCCAAAACCCATGAGTGACATCATAGTGGCTATGTCCATCTTATACTGTCAACTGTGGTTGGTCATCCCACCACGTCCCATTTACGCTAAGTTGGATTAGTATCTGTGGCATCAGTGCTCGGACCTCTTCGTCTTACTCATCTCTTCACCTTTCAGTACGTTTAGTGTTTTGGCTTCTGCAAGTTCTGGATTTACATC